GAATATGACCTTATTTGGAAAGTGGGTCTTTGTGGATTTAATTAATTAAATTAAGAGAAAATCAGAATGGAATGGAGTGGGTCCTAAATCCAGTTTGACTGGTATCCTTATAAGAAGAGAAGAAACAGAGACACGTATACAGAGAAGATAAGTGAGGGTGTACTCAGGGAGCAGAAGGCCACGTGACACAGGGGCAGAGGTGGGAGGGGTGCAGCCGCAAGCCGAGGAGCACCAAGGTCCGCTGGAAACCACTAGAGGCGGGAAAGGCGGGAATAGATTCTCCCTCGGAGCCCCGAGAAGGAACCACCTCACCAACACCTTGATTTTGAATTTCTGGTCCCTCCAACAATGATAGAATAAACTTCTCTTGTTTTATGCCACAGTGGGTGGCACTTTGTTACAACAGCCCTATGAAACTAATACAGGAAATTATCTGATTTTATTACCTATCAAATTCGTGAATTCTCTTGCCCAAAGGTCAGCTGGCCAGCTTATGTATGACTGCCTCTAGTGAAAAACAAACCAACCAACAAAAAACCAATAGTATCTACCAACGAAGCCATCTCTCCCACTCATGAAAAGGTTTGACTGTCATAAATACCTTTCATTTAAAAATAGTTATTAAGCACCTACTATATGCCAGGTACTGTTTGGGCGCTGTTGATAAGGCATGGTGAATGTGAAGCACACAATAAAAGGGTTCTCAAATAAGGTCATTTCTTAGAGTTATGAAAAATAGCACATTCATAGTGTTATGAAAAAATAAAACAATGTAATAAGATAAGAGTGCGTGGGTTTGGATCCAGGAAGAAATTAGCTGATTGTTAGGGAATGCCCCATGAAGGATGTGATTTGGGGGCAGTGACTTGAATTACAGGGAGCCATCCATGGGAAAATCGGGCAGGAGGAACCATCAGTGCAAGTGCCCTGAGGCAGAGCAAGGTAGACATGCTCAAAGCACAGGAAGAAGGTGGGACTTCTGTGAGTAAGAGGGTAGTAAGTGATGAAGCTGGAGAAACAGCAATGTCAGCTGGTTCTCCGAGCCACCCTAGGAGACCAAGGTAAGGAGTTTCAATTTGATCCCATGAGTGCAGGGAAGCCACTGGGGAGAGACATGATTTGACTAACAGTTGTTTTTGTTGTTTGTTTTTTAATATATTTTATTGATTTTTTACAGAGAGGAAGAGAAAGGGACAGAGAGCTAGAAACACTGATGAGAGAGAAACCGACCAGCTGCCTCCTGCACACCCCCCACCGCGGATGTGCCCGCAACCAACATACATGCTCTTGACCGGAATCGAACCTGAGACCTTTGTATGCAGACCGACGCTCTATCCACTGAACCAAACTGGTTTTGGCTGATTCACAGTTTTTAAAAGATCACTCTGACACAATAAAGTTCTTAAAACTGAAGTCTTTCTCACTATTACTTTTGTCCTTTGGTTTTTGGGATCTTAGGCCTTTACAAGACAAGTTTAATAAATGACAGTCTGAACCTAAGATCCTCTTGGCTTACTAGCTTGAAATCATTCACCACTGGAGCAATTCCCAATGAATATGCTTGATTTTTCCCTCTGTCCTTCATTAAATGTGATGTCTAGAAAGGAACACAATATTCTAAGCACAGAGTCTGGAACTATCACCTTTCTCACTCCAGATCTATATTTCTATTGATTGCCCTAAATTTGCCTACTGAAACATAAGTATGCTAACCTCCTCCTGAAGTCCCTTTAAAACACACACACACATACATACACACACACACACACACACACACACACACACACACACAAAATCGCCTTTGCCTAAGGATATGTTTAAGAAGAGGAAAGGGTAGTAGGAGAGGGGAGAAAGAGAAGGGAGAGAGAGAGAGAAAGAGAGAGAGGCCTTGATGTGAGAAAGAAGCATCAGACGACTCCTATATGCACCCCCTCTTGGGATCGAACCCACAACTTAGGTACATGCCCTGACTGGGAATCGAACCTGCAACCTTTTGGTGTACAGGACAATGCTCCAACCAACTGAGCCACCCAGCCAGAGCTGAAATCCCTGTTTTGATGCCCAGGGATTAATCTTGTTCTTTCCTAATGAGAACAGTTGTGCCATGTTTGTTGTTGTTGTATGTGTTTTGTTTCTGTTTGTTTGTTTGTTTGTTTGTTTTGTAAGTGTCACCATTACCCAAACAATATCATGTATTAAAACGATAAAATAAACAAAACTACTGGGTCAGCTTCTGAGGTTTCACAACCACTGCATTTCTCTTCCGGATGAAGGACAAGGAAAACAATTATGGCAAGTTTCCCTACAATTGCTTTGGTCTCTTGCATCACACAGTTGAAGACACCTAGACTATTTGGAAACACTGAGCACTTGAGCAAAAGACACTCCCTGCAATCATACTTCCTACTAGATTTCTCAAAGACTGAAAAACAAATCTGATGCAGACTATCTCACGCTTGGGGAAGGAGGAAGTGGTGAAGGCCCATCTACACCTAAGAAAGCTAAGCTGACTTGGTAAGCAGGGAAACGGGAGGAGAGAAGGATGCTCTGCCAATGGATGCGGGGAAAGCCCTGCAGCCTTTGGATGGGCAGCTTTCTAGCCAGATCCGTCCCACATCCCTCCCACATCCCGTGTCAGATGGCTAGGTTTACCACTGCTTTGCCCCCTAAGTGACCTTGGCCAAGCTACTTAGCCTCAGTTTCCTCATCCGGACACTGAAATGAGGACACCACCTATCACTGCAAGTATATTGTGACGATCAATGAGACCTCTGTAAAGGACTCCCATATAAAAGTGAGGGGTTAGTGCTGGTAATAGGACCTTTACTCCTCCCTTCGCAGCTCCTCCCCACAGCTCATTGCCTTTCCATGACTCTTTTTCATCTCCCAAGGCTGCTTTTGATGTTTATTTTAACCTGATTATTTTCTTTTTTGAAAGAGGAGGGAGGCAGGAAGCGAGACATGGAGTATAACTCACCCCACTCTAAACTTTTCCTAAAGATTGTCCTAGAAGAAGTCCCTTTAGAGCCGTGGGAAGTCATCATAAAACAATTTACCTCTGAAGAACCAGTTATTGTTATGAAAAGAAAACCACATTTGATATTTGTGGACATTCTCCACTTTCTGGAATTCTGTAGCAAATTTATAAGGTTCATAATTTACTAATGTTACTGAATAGCTTCTTCATTATCTTTAACTAGAGGCCTGGTGCACGGATTCGTGCACCGGTGGGGTCCCTTGGCCTGGCCTGCGGTGATCAGGCCAGAAGTAGCTCTCCAACATCCCCCGAGGGGTTCAGGATTGCGAGAGGGAGGTTCTTGGGTGATGCTCCCGGGAATCGGGCTCCCTCCTCTCTGGTTTGGGTGCATCACCCGAGAACTGCAGCTGCCAAGTCACCGCAGCTCGGCAGCTCCTGCATTGAGCATTTGCCCCCTGGTGGTCACTGCACATCATAGCTACCAATCGGATGGTCAGACAGTTGGACGGTTGCTTAGGCTTATATATATGTAGATTGTTTCATTCTCAAATAATACAAAATATCTTCACATTAACTGACAATGTCCTACAAAAGACAAGCACTGCAAAAAACAACAACAACAAAACAAACAAACAAACATGGGAATGCATTCCCGAACCAAATGAGAAAGGCTGAAGATAATCTGCTGATCACCAAGAGTGCTATGTGGGCATCCTCAGCTCTCTTCATTTCTTTAATGGAAAAAGAAAATCTCAGGAGTCGACTTTTTCATTATGAGCCGATCTCAATAGCTTATTGCCCTGCACTCCAGTCCTATTTCTCAACAAAGTGGGAATAAAAATGAGCCAAAGGGAAATACTTTCATAATGGGAGAATACACACTTCCAAACAGAAATATGAGAAGATGTTAAGGAGCGCTCACGTACAATACAATCCCAAGTTTCCTTTTTTTTCCCTTTGCTTAATTCAGTGCTACGCATCTCAGCTGCCCAGGTTTAGGGTTAGGGAGGGGGTGCCTTCCATAAAACGAATCTGAACCATTAGCGTTAGGTGACAATGGCCTGGGCCCTGACAGCTGTCAACTTGCCTTGAACACTGACTCACCACAGCGACAACCTCCAGGTCAGGGCGCCTTACCTGTGCCAGCTCGTAGCCAAGTTGGCACCCTTGCCTAGCACTGAACCAGAGAGTTGGGGGAGCTGGCCAGTTCCTTTTCCTCTTCCCGGTCTCCTTCTCCCAAATCCCATTTACATGAAACCTAGGGAAGCACAAACCCAGTACAAGAGGAGCATGTCCCCAGCTCCTTTCAAAGACGCCGGACACTGGGTTCAGTCTGTCCGGAGCCAGCTGTCTACACTGTGCTTCTAACCCTGCGCCTGTGCTGCTGCACCCTCTGCAAACCCCTCCGTGCTCAGTGACCTGTCCGGAGGAGGGGAGCCCTGGGCAGACGCGGGCTGAGCTGATGCCAGGCACCCATCCAGGGGCCCCTCTCCCTGGCCCCCATCCCTCCCGCGTCCGCCACCCGGGAGCAGAGAGGCAGCAAACTTAAAACCGCACACACGCACGACTTGGCAAATGTCTTTCCAGCCTGGTTCCAGGCACTCCCCCCAGCACGCCTTCCCAAGTGTCTGGGGGATATAAAGCGGGGGGTGGAGGGGTCTTCATCCCCTCAATTTTGGGGAGCCAGCTCCATCTCAGAACCCCTTGGCGACACCATCTGCCACCGGGGGTGGGGACCCCGCGTACAGACCCCCAGCCTGGGGGCTCCCCTTCCCATTTCTTCACCCCGCCCGGCCCCGCAGACCCCGCAAGCATCCCTGCGGCCCGAGGCCCTGGACCCCGCGACACCAATGACCCCCTTCCCCTCCCGCAGCCCCTCACGCGCTGGTCCCAGGGAAGCCCGTGCCTTTGCCTCGGGCGCTCCAGCTGTCGCCCTCCGGAGAGCTCCCGCGCCGCCCGGAGGGACCCGGGCCCGTCTACCCCCCACGGGCACCGGCGGGGCGGGGGGTGGGGGGCCTCTCACCGCAGCGCGCCGGCGGGTCAGGGATGGACGAAGCGAGCGGAGCTGGTGGGCTCGGCGGTGCAGCCGCGGCGCCGGTCGGAGAGCCGGATCCTCGCGCCAGCTGTCAGTCAGCCGCCGCGCCCGCCCCTGGCCCCGTGTGCGCAGGCGCGAGGGCGGCCAGGAGCGAGGTCACGTGACAGGACCGTGCCGCCGCCCGTGCCCGGCGCTCACGGCTCACTCTTGACCCTGGCCCGGCTGCTCCTCGGTGGGAAGCCTAGTCCCCCGCCTCTGGGACTGCGCTCAGAGAGATCTCTGGCGGGAAGGTCCCGGGAACCTCGTTTCCTGGGTCTGCTTAAAACTGGGGTGCTCTTGGGAAGGGTTAGGTGAGGCAGGCTGTTGTAGACGATTGGGTGACTTTGTGGGTGGTGGGTGGTGAGGAACTCCTGCAGGGAGTCGGCAAGGACTGCCTGGTTCTGCTTGCTTCCCCGCGCCCAGAGTCCCCACTTTTAAAACACCTTATGCCATTTCCTGCCCACCTATTCCACTGAAGTCACGGCATTAATGAACATACTTTAAAAGTAAGTCAGGCAGGGATGCATGGTATAAAAGGTGAATTTGAGACCAACTTTTTTCTTGAAAGAGGGCATCCTACGGATGAAGGCTGATAGATTCCACTTTGCTTCATAAGCTTAGGCCAGGCTGCATCTTTTTTTTTTTTTTTTTTAAATATTTTATTGATTTTGTACAGAGAGGAAGGGAGAGAGATAGAGAGTTAGAAACATCAATGAGAGAGAGTCATCGATCAACTGCCTCTTGCACACCCCCTACGGGAGATAGGCCTGCAACCAAGGTACATGCCCTTGACCCGAATAGAACCCAGGACCCCTCAGTCCCCAAGTCCACGCTCTATCCATTGAGCCAAACCGGTTCCGGCCAGGCTGCATCTTTTTAAGCAAATACACTTTTTTTCAATTAAAAAAAATAAATAAAAAGGTAATCCCTGGCCTGTGTAGCTCAATTGGTTGAGCATCATCCCATGTGTCAAGAGGTCATGGGTTCAATTCCCGGTCAGGGCACATACCTAGGTTGCTGGCTCCATCACCAGTAGGGGGTGTGCAGGGGGCAGCTGATCTATGTTACTCATCATCAATGTTTCCCTCACCCTTCCTCTCTCTAAAAAGAGAAGTCAATAAAAACATTTTTTTTAAAGGTGAATAGTAGTGTCTCCTATGGAAGCCTTTTATAGTTCTAAGGAAGGAAGTATAGAAGCAGAAACTGACATCTCCCCAGTAAGTTTGAGATTATGTGACACTTGGTTCCAACACTTCGCAAATTAAATATCTGATTCTGGAGTATGGGCTCTGTACCTCAAACTCTACATACATTTCCACATCTACATTGCAGAGCTATAGTGCTCCTGGTGGTTGCTCATATGAAATAATAAAGCCCTCTCTCAAAATAAAGGCAGTGGTATCTGAAATGGGGCTGAATGTCAATTTTAGAAAACTGGGTTCTCTGAAGTTTTAGTTCTGCAGAAAGAACTGGAAGCCTCTCATTTATGAGAGAAAAAAATGACATGGATTGATGATTAGGTAGCTAGCCTGTGGGAAGTTGGCCTATTGAACTTCAGACTTGCTAGGAGAACTACATGAAGAAAAATAGCTGGGAGCTGCAGTCTTATAGAAGCAATGGCTGGGTCATAGCTGCTTCTCGACCAGCTTAGTATGGCCATCATGTATGATAGTTCTATTGGTGTTTCAAGTTTGGTGTGAACTCAGGAAGGAAAGGAGGACAGCCTTCACTTCTTCATGCGGACACTACAGGTAAGTAGATATACCGTTGGTTCCTGTAAAGTCTGCCCTGTGTCCTGCAGAGGATGAGCCTGTCTTGTATACTTTATGGGAATAGATGAGGATTGTATCTGAGGCTGGAGGAAGTTCTCTGTTCAGTGAGTGAGCACAAGGCACATCTCCTGTAGGCCTGACCTGGCTGGTGACACCAGCTAGTTAGAGAAATTGAAAATATGAGCTCATTCAGGGTCAAATTCCATTTGGGGGAAATATAATTTCCCTTAAAGAGATTCATATGGACTTTCTCTCTTTCTATCTTATTAAAAGTCTTCTGACCTTGCCACAGGGTTGGAGAGAGGCAGATGACATAGCCATTTTTTAAAAAGGGGAAGAAAGTAAGGTCAGTGAACTTGACTTTGGGCCTGAAAAATATTCATAACAGATTACTTACAAAAAAATATTTGTGTCCCTCAGAAGAGGAAGCACCAATGAAAAGACCAAGTCATGCTAGATTAACCTTATCTCTGTTGTGAAATATAGAGACTGATAAATCAAGGAAATATAAAAGAAGTAGTATGTCTGGACCTGGAAGGTGTGTTTACCAGGATTCTTTCAATTATTAAAAATTCAATTCATACTGGTTCTTGAAGCAAGAAACTGTATTGGCTCCCATAACTGAAAAGTTCTGGAGTTGGTCCAGCAAGATCTAGGGGCTCAAATGATGTTATCAGAACTTAGTCTCTTTCCCCTCCTGACTGCTTCCCTCTGGTTTGGCTTCATTCTCAGATTAGGCTCTTTTTTATGGAGTGATCTCTGGCAGCAACAGGCTTATATTCTTTCAATTTAGCAGAGGGGAGGGGAAAAGGGGGGTGGGATTCTCTCTTTCAATATTTCCAGCTGAAGTCCCAGGATTCTGTCTGGATGGACCAACATCACTCATGTGCTCATCCCCTTGCACCAATCTCTGAGGCCAGGTATTGGGATAACTGGATTGGCCTCATCTAGACAGGAGTGAGGATCAGCCCTAACCAGCTACTTGGGTAGGGAGCAAGAGAAGAGTGGTTCCCCACAGGAAAATTAGATACTCTTGTGAGGAGAAGGGGGACAGATTCTGGGCAGGCAAGGGAAAACAACATATTTAGGACAGAGCATTTGCTAAGATATCTCATGATACTAGAGGAAGGGCAGGAAGAAAAGGAAGGAGAAATATTAAAGTTATTGTATGACTGAATATTCAAAAATACTTTGATTAGAGAATGAGTCCAAAAACAATTATACAAGATAAAACTAGTGTTGTGACATAGCATTAGTCTGTGTTTCTGGTTACCCAGCATGTCTATTTTCTCTTCCCCCTTTGTATCATATTGCATAAACTTAGTGGCTAACATGACACAAATTTATTATCTTACGGTTCTGGAGGTCATGTCCTAAAATCAAGGTATCAGCAGAGGTGATTTGTTCTGGAATCTCTGGGGAGAATCATTTTCCTTCCTTTTTTCAGTTTCTAGCAGCCTTGACTCAAGGCTCCTTCCTCCACCTTCAAAAGCAAACTCCTTTAATCTGGAAGGGTTACCAGCTTTCCCCTCCTTCAAGACACTAATGTGTGCTGGAAGTACAGGCCACTTGTTTTGTAGAATGTCTGTTTATATTTTTCTGATTGTTCCCTTATAGAGTCAGGAGTACTGTGTAATGTTTGGCAGCAGTACTGCCTAGCTGTGTGTCCTTAGTGCATGGTATCAGGAGGCACAAACAGCAGTGTGTCTTGCATGATATTATGCTTGAGCAATGGTTGAGATGGTGATATTTATTCAGTGTAAAGGGACCATTTCTTCCTTTTGTAAATAACTCGTAATCTTTGGAGAGGTGCTTTGAGATTATTTAAATATCCTCTTTTCCGGTAGTTTAGCATGCATTAACAATAATACTAGCGTTGCAAAACCTTGAGTATTCTACTTCAGTTGACATTTATTAGTTGACATTGCCCTGCATCTATTCTTGCCCTTCTCCAGTATGCTCTCCACAAAGAAGCTAAAATGACCTTTAAAAACCACAAATGTGATCAAATCCTCTAGTGGCTTCCCACTTTCCCTCAGATGTGGCTGGCATCCCTCGACTGGTTGTTAGGACCCTGAATGACCCAAGCCCTTCTAAATGCTCCAGCCTGGACTCAAGCCACTCCCCCTTTGCCCTCTACACAAGGCCTCTTACAGAACTTAAAACAATTCAAGTTGCTTTCCACTCCACCACCCTTTGCTTGGAACCCTCTTCCTCCACCTCCTGCCCCCTTTGCTCATCAAATACCCAGGTGTCCTTCACATATCACATCTTAAAGAAAGCCCTCCATGTGACCCCCACACCAGATCAGTCTCTCGGGTTTATACCCTCTCACCATACAATGTGCTTTTCCTATTTTGGAACATATCAGTTTGTAATTGTGCACTTACTCAAAGGGCAGAAGAAAGTGAGCTTGAGAGATCCAGGGGCCAAGCCCAGAGCCTGACCCTCAGTAACTGCTCCATACCTGTTTACTAGCCATCTGCCTTCCCACCAGCACAGTCCTGGAACCTCAGCAGGCTCTACCTACAGCTGGAGGCACAGTGACCCAGTGAAAATAAATTCAGGAGCACATCATACCACTTTCTGGGCCTTGTCTAATACCATGGGTTGTGGAGTTTAAGCCTCCTGGCTTCCCTAGTCTGGCTGTTGTATTCAATACTACAAATTTGGTAGAAAAAAATAAGAAACAACCCCAAACATCCTTCTGTGGGGAAGATGCTTTGAGATTATTTAAACATCCTATTTTCCATCAACAATAATACTATCGTGGTTGCCAAACCTTGAGTGTTCTATTTAAATTTCTCCATTGACATTTATTAGTTGACATTTCCCTGTATCTATTCTTGACCTTCTCCAATATGCTGTCCACAAAGCAGCTAGATGACCTTTAAAAACCACAAATGTAATCAAATCCTCACTGGATCTTCTGGAACAAACCTCTGTACCTTTGTCTGTCTCTTCTCTCACACATACTGTTTACTTGAAGTTGAGCATAAAATTACTGGATGAATTTTTACCAAGTGAGTACCCATATAACCAGCAACCAGATCAAGAAATAGACTATTACTAGCATCCCCCATTAATGGTAACCACTGCCCTACCCTGTCTCCTCTACCAAGGATCAGTTTTGCCTAACGTTGTACTTTCTTTTTAATGACATCAGATAATATGTACTCTTTTGTGTCTTGCTTCTTTTACTCAACATCTTATTAGTGAGATTCGTCTGTATGACTGTGTGTAATATAGACTTTCATTCTGTACAGTATTTTATTGTAGGAATATACCACAACTTATTTATTCCTTCTGTT